GGGCCACGTGGGGCCACGACCCCCCCCCCGAGCCCGAGAGTCTCCACAGAGCCACACGGGGACATGCATCCATCAGAGAGAGGTACATCAACACATGATAATGCATCAGACTGCTGCCTGCATTTATATCAGCCTTCAGCGCATCGATGACGCCAAACATCCATGAGCGCAAAGGCGTCTCGCTACGCAAGCTCAATATCATGCGTAGTTGTTTATCAATATTAAAGTGGAAAACAAAGTCTGTAAAGCTGCTTTGAAACATCTAAATTGTTATTATAGCAAATACACTGCAAGTTAAAGTTAAATTAATTGACATTTATAGCATTGATGGAAACCCCGGTTAAGAAGAAAGCATGCATGAACTTAATAAAATGCAGTTTGGAAATAGTAAGTAGTTAAAATGTAAGTAGATTTGGATAAAAATGTATGCATAATGTGAATGTAAAATGCGTCTGCATGCACTTGCATAAAATACCTAAGTTTGGCAAGGCAAGGCACGTTTATTTCTATAGCACATTACATATGGTAATTCAAAGTGCTTTACACAGAAATTAATTAAAATAAACAGTTAGGTAAAGTTAAACTGTCTACATATTTATTGCATTAAAGGAAACCTAGGTTAGGAAGAATGCAAGGAATGCATTTTGATAAAATGTAAATTCAACATTCAGTTTGCCTCTGCATTTGCATCAAATTAAGTTAGTTAAAGTTCAAATATTGGCATATTTATAGCATTAAAGTTGCACCGATATGAACATTTTTGCCGATACCGATAATTCTTTTTATTTGAAAGCCGATAACCGATATATCGGCTGATAAACCTGAATCCAAATTTTTATATAATTTTTGAGAGCCCGATTACAAAAACAAAAATCTCGAGCACATAATTATATTCTCATAATAATTGTATGTAACTGATATGATAAATTTGCACTGAACTCTATTTTCCTTTTTCGAAGTGATTACGATCATATTTCAAGCAATTCAAACCATCATGTTGAAGCGCAACTGAAGTTTCTCAGCAGAAGGAAATAATATATTATTTATCGGGTTTATTATATCGACCACATTTTCTTATCGGGCTGATAACGATATCATTAAAAATTAGCATATATCGGCCGATACCGATAATGTGACCGATATATCATTCATACCTAATTAGAGAAAATCCAGGTTAAAGTCGCCATGAAATGACTTTCTTAGTGACTTTATTGCAATATTAATTATAAATGATTTATCCACGTACATCATCATTTTTCTTATTTTCACGTGATTCATCATCTTTCCCTCGGATATCGTCACAATAGGAAAGAAAAGCCCAACAACTTCTGTTTCATGTCAACTTTAAGAAGAATACAAGGAATGCATGCATGCCTGCCTAATGCAAAAAGTGTATAAATATAAATGCAATATACAGTTTGCATTTGCATACTTGCAAAAGGTATGTTTTTATTCAGGACTCTGGGTTTGCACATGATGGTAATATTTATTAGTTCACCTCAAACCGTCACATTCCACCATCTTGATTTTCCTTCATGCAACACGTTTAGTTCTCCAACAAACACACACTCCTCCCCAATGGCCTTCAGAAGAACACAATCTCATCTCTTCTCTCTGTCGTTTCTCCCCGTCTCTCCCTCTATCTGCTCTCGTCTTTGTCACCAAACACCTCGTTCATACTCGCTCTGACAGTGCTCTGGCCCCGAACGAATTACACAGGCGCTTCTGAGCTCAACGTGCAGATAATTCGCACATACCTCACACACATGTATAGACATCACTTCTAGCAAGAGATTGATATGAAAAGAGAATACTAATGCAACAGCATAGCAGCAAACTAAAAGCCATTCAAAACACATCGGCAAATAGCATAGCAACACCTTGACTCCCACAACACCCTAAAAACTGTATAGCAGCACATTAAAAATGACATCTTGGCAACACCATGGCAACCATCCAAATACTATAGCAACCACATAGAAGCAAACTAAAAGCCATGCAAAACATATTGACAAAAGGCAAATGCATATTAATGCCTCTATTTTGAACATCTTCACAACTGCATAGCAACACCCTGGCAACCACCCGAATGCTATGGCAATCACATAGCAGCACACTAAAATCACATTGGGCAAATGCATAGCAATGCCTTAACTCCCACAACACCGAAAAAACTGCATAGCAACACCTTGGCAACCACCCGAATACTAATGCTACAGCATAGCATCACATTAAAAGCCATTCAGAAAACATAGCAACACCTTGACTCCCACAACACCCTAAAAACTGACCCTAAAACATCTTGGCAACTGCATAGTAACACCATGGCAACCATCCAAATAGTATAGCAACCACATAGCATTCGAAACATATTACACTCTAAAAAATGCTGGGTTGTTTTAACCCAACTTTGGGTCAAATATGGACTAACCCAGCCGTTGGGTTAAATTTTTACATTACATTTTTAACCCAACATTTCAGGTTTGTCCATATTTGACCCAAAATTGGGTTAAAACAACCCAGCATTTTTTAGAGTGTAGCAAATGCATATTAATGCCTTGATTCAGAACATCTTAGAAACTGCATAGCAACCACCCGAATGCTATGGCAATCACATAGAAGCACACTAAAATCACTTCAGAACACATTGGGAAAATGCATAGCAATGCCTTAACTCCCACAACACCCAAAAAACTGCATAGCAACACCCTGGCAACCACCCGGATACTGTGGCAATAGCATGGCAGCACACTAAAAGCCACTCAGAACACATTGGCAAATACATCATGCCTTGACTGCCACAACACTACATAGCAACACATTAAAAATCACTTTATAAAATGCATAGCGACACCCTAGCGTTGTGATTGTTGCATGGGACAAACCACTGAATCTCTGAACCAATTCTGTTTTCTTTAACAATAATCCTCTTTGGTAAATTGATTTGATTTGTTTCTACGATAATGCAAATTCTCAAGCGTGCATGCCTTCTGCTTTATTGATGTCATTCATCAGCATTATAACAGATCCAGATACTTCATTCCCCGTGAAAGCATCGTTTATATAGGGCTTTTATTGTGGAGGAGCAGAGCATATCAGTGGGATCACAGGGCCATGAGGATGGAGACGGAGCCGGCGAGGAAGCAGAGAGAGATATGGAGGAGATCTGATCATTCTCCAAGTATTCCAGAACATGCTTAACTTAAGCTGTATCACAGCAGGCTTCAGTTTGGACTCACTATCAGAAATATCCTGTGTGTGTCACAGTGTGTGTGTGTGTGTGTGTGTGTGTGAGAGAGAGAGAGAGAGAGAGAGAGACCATCATCTACAATGCAAAAATTGGCACTGCTTCATTTTCCACTTAAAATATCCTTCAAATAAATTACATTCCCGAAATTTAAAATTGTAGTTTTATTTATTTATTTGTTTACTTTGTACTTGGATGTTTTTATTAAAAGCAAATCAACTTAGAATGAGATTTTGAGGTGTACCAAAACTCACAGTGTAGTGTCCTCGTGTGAAAGCGCCGTGGATATTGACGAGGAAGGCACATAATTGTAAATCTCAGGAAATGGACACTCTGAAAAGTCTCGAGTTTGTTTATAACTTGCAGCGAAATGACAGTTAAAAATGTGTCATTGAAAAAAAACAACAAAACAACAGCGACGAGACTTCCGAGTGACGTCATGATGTCTCCATCAATCATAGCCGTCACTCTTCCTGAACTGATAAATATTAGGAAAAACATCATACGGAGAATATTTTTAAATAAAATTATTGTAATTTAAAAGGTATAGGCTACTAAAAAACGTTTAAAACTACAGCCTGTTTTAACATTATTAAAATAAATTATAAGCATTCAGTGATGTCATCGATCTATAGGCTATAGAACAAACGTTCTAGTCTATTAATGTGTGTTTACATGGGTTAAATAAACTGTAATAAAATAATATAAACTGCCTATTAATTCGAAAATATCTACTGTCAAAAGATCTAGAATGAAAAGTTCTTTTGTGGAACTTTTTGTAAATGAAACTTTTTTTAAGTGCAATCTCAGAATAAATTCTAATGCATATGAGTATAGATAAGGCCTCAGTTATTATAACATGACACACAATCGGTATTTTCATTCATCTAATTATTTCATGTCGATGTAGGCTACATAAGCCCGATCTCATGAAAGTTCCTATCAGTTGCACGAATTTTATTTTCTCGTGCCATTTATAGCCTATATACGTTAAAATAGTTTTTGCGTGCATATGGTAAGCACTTTATGGCGTGTAATACACTACGTAATTGGTTTCTGAGACGCCAAAACTATTTTTAGCATATAAATGGCACGAGAAATAAATTTCATGAGAAGGTGTTGACATTATCGGTATTTATTTATTTATTTTATTTATTTTAATTAGCCTGTTGCTAAGAACATAGTCAATGCCGGGGTATGTAGAGCATCACTCTTAGAAGAAAAGGTTCTATGTATCAGCGCTACGTATTTGGAACCCCTAAAAGGTTCTATACACTCTTAAAAAAAGGGTTCCTCTGGGTTCTATATAGAACCCATACTTGGCCAATAGAACCTTTTACCAAAAAAAATGCTCTAGAACCATTTTGGAGTTCCATATATGAAGCGGGGGATGAAACCATTTCTGGTTCTAAATAGAACCATTTCATAAGAGTGCATGTTTACAGGTTACGAAATCAGGAAAATATACAAATGACACAGTGAGTGTTTTAAGGGCTTTAGTTGCTGGATGTAAGAGTGTCCAGATACGATTTAAGTTCCTTTACTGTAATACAAAAAAAAAAATTAAAAGTAGGGCTTAAGCAGTTAGCACCCTAGAATTTACGTTTGTGAATTGGAACATGACCGATTAGTGCCCCGGCAAACGAGATGAGTGAACTGAGGGAAGCTCGGGATGCTGTACTGGAGGCGGAGAGACTGGGAGGAGTGTTGGGAGAGACTTCACTGAGACTGGGAGGAGTGCTGTGAGAAACTTCACAGAGACTTTTCACCCTTATCATCCTCTCCTGTCTTCTGTGAAGAGAAGTTAACCGGAAAATGCTCTCGGCCACCGCGGGGTAAACGGCCGATGCTCCGGTACTCACGAGTGGAATAATCGGTGCAGGCGGACGATCACCTGTGTGGACATGTATCAAGGTGTAACGATGACCACAAACCACGGACACGCGTCTTACGAGCCCGGTTTCCTCCATAACGCGGCCACTTCCCCGGTGTACGTGACACCCACCCGGGTAACCCCGATAATCCCGGCGCTCCCATACCTCCAGACCCCCCAGCAGAGCAACCCCGGGTCCGGACACCCGGGATGGGCGCAATCGGGTGCGGACACCTCTTATAATCATTCCACACATCATTCTCCGGTGTCCAGGTTCACTTTCTCAGCGAGCCCTCCGTTAACCTCGCAAGCCCGGGAGACTGCGACGTACACGAGCCCGCTGAACATCAGCACGGGCGCCCGGGAGCATTACGGTTCCCGCGGGCTGAGTGGCTCGTATCACACCGGGTACCCGGCCTACGTGAGCCCGAGTATCGGAGGCTCGTGGGCGGCCTCGCACTTCGACGGTTCCGTGATGCACACCGGAGGACCCGCGCGACACCCGAATATAGGTGAGAACCAAATATTTTATTAAAAAATATTATTATTAATATTATTATTCATTTTTAAAAAGCAACTTTTATTATCAGTAGTATTTTAAAACCCTGTAAAGCAATTAATCGGATTGGCCTATCTTTTCTCTTTTTTTGTGGCATTTTTGCCATAAGCTTCTTATTTAAAAAAAATAAAAAATCAGATATAATTTATAATTTGACCTGTTTTGACAAAATTGTTAAATTATTAAAATCTGAAAGAAAATGTCAACATACGAAAGGAACATAAAGACAAAGATGACATTTTAAAAGTTTTGTGTAGCATATATGATTTATTTTACATATATATTTATTGGACTCTTTCTTAAACGGTTAATGACACAGCCTAAACTATTCAGTTTTAATTTCACAGAATATACAAGAATGTTTTTGTTTTGTTATTTTTTATAATGAAAAATGTAGATGCAGTTTTGTGTTACAATTTTTTATATTTTTTAACATTATTTATTTTTTATAATTTAATATAGCTAATTTATGTTATATATGAAACTAAGATAAAGTTTTTGGTTTGGAAAGAAAAAAAAATTAAACATTTTTAGTAAAGATCATTTCCACATTATAATGTTGTAGCTTTACATAAAAATAGATATTTTCGATTTTTTAATATTCTCTCTCTTTTTTTAATCAGGTTACACTATTTTACTGTCTCATACTTACCATAACAGTAAATTATGCATAATTAACCCTCAAATAAATCACCTATCCCCGTATTGCTTAATATTACTCAGTATACTTAAATATATAATCACGCTATAAACATGACACCTTTAAAAAATAAAATGTAACCCTTTATTTTAAGCTGTCCTTGTTACATTTAAGAGTGTATTAATGAACATGTTGGATAGTTAATGTAATTGCATAACTTACTGTCATTATTGTATGTAACGTAAAATAAATATGTTAGCAAAAAAAAAATCACTTTTAATTCGACGTGTTGGAAGTTTATTAGAGATTTCTGAGTTTCTACCAGTCACGAAAACATTTGACAATGTTTTATTTGTCTTGTTTGATATGAAATTAAAGTAATGCTTCAGTTTGTGCTTTCATGGGTTTAAGCGAAGCTTTTGGGAAAAGTGTGCTGTCATTTAATTAAGTTTAGCAGATCATTTACATTTAAGGCTTTTTGAATCTATAATGTTATACATTTAATTTAGCCTACATATTAAATGACACGTTTGGACAAAATAGTTGATGAGAAGATGTTTTAAGGAATGCGGTGTAAATTAGCAATCCTGCACGTGAACAAACTGTTTTGCATAGGTATTTAAAAAACTTGTAGCCTATCGTCTTAACTTTATTAATCAGGGTTTGTTTAGCTTAATTATTAATAGGAATTTACACGTGCAACTTACGTTTTATAGTCTATATATATTAATATCTATGATACGTGACAAATGTTTCATTATTACCCGTTTTTAATTCGCGCAAAGTGTCACTTGTGTTGATATAAATTTACTGCTTATATATAGGCTAATTTGGCTTGTTTGTCTTTAGACACAATTTAAATTCGATAATTATGAGTCTATTTTCAAATATGAACAACTACGAAATAAATATTAATTTCTAGGTTATATGAGACACGATATACTGAGAAAATAAAAGTTTTCTATTTCGTCTCATCCTTCACATTATACTTATAATACACATGAATAAAAGCATTCTGAAACTAAGAATTATTTTTAATACGTGAAATAGTTCCAACTTTTAAATATTGTTTTAAGAGGCAGAAAAAAAATCTAAATAGCCTATTAATATATTATCAGTTTGTTTATTTCATGACTGTATAATTATTGTTGAATATTGCGTGTATTTAATATCTCATTTGA